ATTTTGCCAAATGTATGCCTTTTTTTTTTTAAAAGACTAACTAGCTTCACAAAATGTGATGAGTTGTTTTGATTATTGTTATTATTTGTATTAAAGTATCAATCTATCTATCGTATATATTTTTATATCGTATGTGGATCATGTTTTGGACAGTTGGTTCCATAAAAATAAATATTGTACTGAATAATTCATCAGTTTTTACCATTCTTTTTTTTTTTTTTACTATTTTTGGAAATAATTGTAGTTTTATTTCAGGAAACAACTGCCAGATTTATCAAAATTAAGTTTTAAATCAGGGAACACTTCCGTGATTTAACAACATTCATAAGTCTCAGAATCTGTCATCAATTGCACAATCATAATCACAGTCTGTTTTCAGTGCATATTTTTAATTGAAAAAACCTTTTATACTATAAAAAGTAATAAATATGTCCTTATTTAGAAGTAAACATGACAAATGGTGTATAAATATGGATTGATTTCATCTCCAAACATCAACTCCAGGTCTTTGTAGCTCACAGAGGAAAAAAGTAAAGGCTTCTTGGTGTGGTCGCACTGATGAAGGTCAATCAAGGAGGACGCCATGTTTAATTACACATCTCCCTTTGTTTCCTGTAAACCCATTGTGCTATATTCAGATCAATTTCATCAAGTATAATGTTTTTCATCTCCAAAGCCCAACAAAGCATCCAAATGAGGAAGTTAAAAGGCACGCAGCATGCAGTCCATAGGTGAGTAAATATGATCTATGACATATTTTAGGATTCTGTTTCAACATTGTTCAGAGATTGCAGAGCTGACTGAGTGTTCGAGTCCAAAGGGTTTGACTTGACGTTCAGCCACTTCATTGCTGGCATGTTGGACAACTTCTCCACTGGTATTTCTGTGGGACAAAAAAACACGGATAAAACGTAAGCTCAAACCATTTAATAATTACACAACTCATGGCTTTAATATATTTGTATTACCTGTGATGCTGTTTCCCTCCAGGTTAATCCTCTCCAGTGTGGCTATTTCAGTAAGCTTATCAGGGAAGATGGAGAAGCTGTTATAAGCCAGATTGATGCTGGTCAAATGCTCCATCTTTAAAAAGGCGTCAGGCAGTTTGGAGATGATATTTCCTCGCAGGTCAAGTTCTGCAAAATATTTCAAGACACAAGTAAATGAAGGGGTTGCTTGTCTGATCTCCTGTCACAAAATGAAGACACTCAGTCAACATTTCTGAGGTTAACCAAAAAAATAACTCAGGGGTGAATTGCTATATCAAAATTTGATTCAACAACATGAATTCTTGCTAAGCTTGGACAACAACACTTTCTAGGATTTCAAGAATGCTTCCTGTTACATAAATAAAACGGGTAAGCTTAGGCTCGCTGCCTCTTTATTCCTAAAAAAGTTGCTACATAAAAAAAATAAAAAAAGTTACACAATAACACTGCAAAATGGTTTGAAAATTGATAACAACTTTAACTTTATTCGCAGGATAACTGCCTAACAGTAGCAATGTATATAAAGCTTTTAGAAATCATTTTCTGGAAGTTGTGAATAGATCCAGAATCTAAGAAGCAAAAATTACCCCCACCCGTCACCCATGAAAATATACAATCTTTTCTTGTAAATTGAATCCATGAATTAAATAGTTGTAGTGTATATCCATTACCTCTCAGTTGCGTGAAGTTTAAAAATAACTTGCTGGAAATGGACTTCATCTCATTTTCAGCCAGTAAGACAACGCGGATGTTGTCTGAGACGCTCTTCAGGACCCTGAACACACCATCGGGGAATGTAATGAGCTTGCAGTTTGACAGGTCTGCAGAGAAGAAGAAGATGATTGTGAGAGTACGACACATTTACACAGCAGAGCCAGGAGGATGGTAACAATCTATAATTTACACACACTATGGGGTTCAACGTTTTTGAAGCAGACAAATCTAAACCTCTGTCACCACCTGCTGGTGAAAATCCAAAATAGGCATCCACTCAAATTGGGAATCAAAGCTGTTCATTTAACCAGCATAAAGACTGAGTGAGAGAAAGAGATATGTTAGGAGTCTTACCCAATGTGTCACCGCCATCCTCCACGATTGCATTAACCCTCCGGGCCACATTTGCGACTGCTTCAGCCATTCTTCTGCCGTAACTGTTCCTGAAGGAAATCATGCAACATTACACTTGCACATACTTTATGCATTGGATGTATGATGGACAAATTATGATTACAGTAACTAATAATGACAGTTTATCATTCCAAATGAATCCAGCTTCATGCAGTTACATTAAGCGAGTATTATGATAGTGTCTTTATGGGATATTAATCACATGATATGTGACAGAATAAGAAATGTAGATAGATAGATAGATAGTACTTTATTGATCCCAAATTGGGAAATTGTAGCCCTATTTCATCATGTCCATTTATCACTGTAGAATCTATTAACACATGAAAGTAAGTCAAAATCCTTTACTCTGAGAACATATTTTCTGTAAATCTACAATAATATTTCCTGAGAGCGATATATCATGCATGTAGCAATACAATAATGCAAACGTACCCTTCATTGTACAAGCCTTTTAAAAAAAAAATATATATAATTCTGAGGTTTTCAAAAAGTGAAGTAAAGTTGATTAGAATAAATTGCATAGCATTACCAACTAATACACTAATTCAGAGGTAAAGACTGTATTCACGTAAAGTGACTACTACAGTGTAAACATGCTCACAGGGCACACAAGAATTAAGTATTATAGTATCATCACAAATTATATTTTAAGTACTAAGAATATACATTTACATTAGGCTTACCTTAACCCATGATAATATCACGTTTTATTGTAGTGTGAAATGTGTAACTTAAGCTGTCAGATACATTTAGGAGGGTACAAACGTAGATTCTTGCCCACAAACTGTAGTAGAGTAGAAGTAATGTAAACCAAGTAAACCTCGAAAGTGTACTTAACTACAGAATATAACACAATACAAGTGAACCCTATGACATCTAATGAAAAAGCAGTATCTACTAGTCAGTGTAGTAGTTATACAAATGTAATGAAGATAGAAAGTATCCCGAACATGAAATACTTAAAAAGGAAGTATTTTCATATGACGTTAGTTAACGTTAGATAACCTTTAAATTAACTTATGGCTGAATAATGCTACAATCTTTGGCAAACTGGACCTAGTCATGCACTACCGGACTGTGCGGAATGCAACTACAATCTGTTTAGTTCAAATCACATAGTTTGTTTCATTTCTCGTTCATTAAAGCCACACCAGGAAGAAGCCACTTACCCAGACTAGAAGAGCTACTGTTACTGAGCCTGGCAGCTGCCTCAGCTAGCTAGCGTTATCCACAGCAGCTAGCCCTCAGTCTAATTTGGTGAGTGTGTATTTTTAGCCCCGCAGAGGGCAATTCACCTGGATGTTGCGCTATACGCTGGAAAAAGCTTTTATAAACCAAACCTCATATAGTGACGTTAAAAACACATTGTAAAAGGCATTGTTGCTTTGACTTAACGTTAGTAACGTAAGGAATTTGCTAGGCTACTAGCAAACAGCCGGCAAGTAAATACTTTATTCATGAGTGTCAGTGCTGCTCTAATAGGGTGCAGCAGACATGTAGGCTGAGGCATGACTGTAAATGCTGACAAAATAAGCAATACATTAGAGCAATAACTCTGCTCAATTGCAGTCGTGGATATGAACTCAGTAGACCACATTGTTTTACGTACTTTACGTTAGATTTATTTTAAAGTATTCTACTTGAGAATTTCCAGTTTCTGTTTGTAGCTGATACTACGCCCACGTATACCGGTAGGCCTACTCCTACATTCAAAGTCAAGTCAAACTTTGTAAGATACATTGTATCTTGTAGATTTAATTAAAAATTTAGTTACCAGTTACTTGAGGGATTTAGATGAAATATAAGAATAGTTGGATCCCTCTGTGAAATCCAGCAGTAAACATAATTGAAAAAATATTAAAGTTAAACCACTATTAGCATGACATTGACACATTTTTGCTACATAGTGATGCATCAAAACGAAGTCTGTAATTAAATAATATAACATAATTGAAAATAGGTTACATTCTTGCTACTTTAACACAAACAAAAATTCAAGATTATTACTTCCACCAATTATGAATTAGGATTAGGCCTAGTAATACCTATAAATAGTCATTATTACATTTTTTAGTTGGCCAATATTGCTATATTGTTGTCACTTGTCACCATATTGAAAGAAAATCCTGCTTTTTTTTTATCAGAATATTTTAGATTGAGGCATAACATGAAGACAATGCATTAAAACTGAATTACAATTTTTCCTGAGATTAGGAAGATTAAGAAGAATATAAAGGTAAATGTTGTCTTACCTCTGAATCCAGGTCAACTATTCCCAGGTTAGACCCCTGTTATTGTCATCATGACTCTGGCAAATTCCTGGTAAGTCAGTGTGTTTCCAAAGGATTTGAATACAATGTGCTCATTGGCTTTGGATGAATGGTTCAACATTCTAACCACTTAAAGCCACTTTACAGTATTTGCTGGAAATCCCTCTCCTATACAATGCCGTATTTTGCATGGCTATGACTTGCTGTTGATGACTGAAAAAACTCTAATACTAGAAATATCAACCTCTTCCGGAGTATGCATTAACACATAGTAGTGACAGGTTAAAATAGCAGTGATGACAGGTATTGTTGATATCGGGCACCTCTGAGAAAGCCGTGCTTTTATACTATGATATTGTATACTAAAACATGATTTTTTTTCACAATACGTAAGAAATATATATTTTTCTACAAAACCCCTTTCTTCACTTAACAAATGAAGCAAGTTATGTCTGAAAAAGCAACCGAACAAAATACATAATCCATGTGCAAAATGTACATAAATACAATTTCTTTAATATTTACAATAAATATACATTAATTTTTAGTTACACAAATGGTAGTGTACAATAAAAACAGTGCTGACATATTTAACTACATTGCCATTTCATGTTTACATTGAGGAAATTGATAAGGGAAATACAATTGTATATTACATTGTAACATCTGCACACAGCTGGAAGGCTGTATACTATTGAGTTTTTATTTCGGCACATCTTAAAATGAAAATGTTCCCCTTACAAACCAGAGCTCACATCACAAATTAAAATCCCTTATCTGCACATTGATCAGCTACAATCTTACAGTGCACTGTGACAAATATCAAAGAGCTTTTTCCTTCTAGCTAAGTGTTTTCTTTCGTTTTGAGACATTGTTCGTTCAGCTTCACAGGTCATGTTCACAGGTGGTTGTGGCTCTCACTGGCAGCCACATTCTTCCACGATCATGTCTTCATGGTGTCGAAGGAGCATTTCTCCATTTTCATAGTACAGCATGCTTAATGGGCTCATTTTGGTCGGGGCACAGCAGGGGGATCCCACTTTGTCAGGGTAGTAATGTTTCAGTAAACTCTGGAAAAAGAAAAAGAAAACACGATTTAAATATATTATTCTGGTCTCAAAATAATGAATTTAACTTCATAAAGATACTAACTAATCGTTTTTATTCAGTTTAATTGTTCAGGTTTATGCCTGTGAGGGTTTTGTGATAGCAGCTATCATTGTATAAATTCCTTTTTATGACTGCAACTAATGGTTGTTTCTATTGTTAATTAAAACCAGAAAATGTTGCAGCTCATCTTTTTTTTAAATCTTACTGACGATACTGATCCCTTAATGTTTTCTTTTCTTGTAGTCTAAAGCCTAATGCTGCACTTATTTCTTGTCAGATTTACTGTTAATGTGACCTTCCAAACAGTAAAACCAGTTCCCCTTGATCTATCAGTTATCATTACAAACACTGTAGGGCATCTAAGGGACATTTTCTGGGTGATCCAGTATCTCCCATTTCAGGTCCCAAAAGGGGGAACATGTCAAAACAAGCAGTACACATCAATGTAAATCTGAGTCTAAGACAATGAATGAGTAATATTCATGGTAACACCAGCACTCACCTGCATGTAAGCATGATTTGTTGGATTCAGGTGTTCTCCCAGGGGACCAGGGCAGGGACCCTCACAGCGGTAGGCATTATATCGTTTAGGAAAAACAATCCAGGACCCCCAGCCAATTTCATTAAAGTCTACATGCATTTCCACTCTGCGACAGAGAGATTTTTCACTCCCTCTTTTGGACGCCTGCAGGCTTCTCACAGACTGTTCTCTCTGGCCCCGCTTGCTCCTGCGCCTCTTTGGCCGGCCGGCCCTTTTGATTTCAGCAGGGGACAAGAACTTGGATTGTTCAGCTGTGTGACGTAAGCTCGCTTTGGCCTTCGGGTTTTCACCAGAGCCAGTTTGTGAGAATATGACCAACAGGGCCCGGTCACTCACGTCTGGCTCTCTTTTCAGGCTTGCCACAAACCCAGGCACATCAGGAAGCGTCAGGCCTCTCTTTGTTTTTACCACTCTCCTTCTTCTCAACACTCTTCTGTTTCGACTTTTCACTGCTGCTGATTTTTGCCTCAGCCAGCTCAAGAGAGGTTTTGTAATGTTGAACACTTTCCAGTTCTGTGATGAAGTGACCAGTGATGATTCAGAGAGCAGGCCCACCAGCTGCTGCTCCTGGCAGCTTGTGTGAGAATGGCACGCCTTGCCATGCTTGTGATAGACCTCCACCGTGATGTTGGAGGCATTCTGTTGCCGAGGAAGCCGGATCCTCAGCTCTGCCGCCTGAATCTGCTTGTCAGATAGAAGCGGATGGAGGTCAAAGGTCGCAACCCAGCACTTCTCCCTGAATGTCAAACCTGATGTACAAAAAAAGAGAGAAAGATTTGCATAATTATCATAAAGTCATCATTAGCAGACTTTATACAACAATCCCACCGTCATTTGACAACACACAAATGAATGTGCCAGTGTGCAAGTCCACCTGTTGAAGATATAAAATACAACACCGGCACGTTTCATGATCAACGTTTTGAACTATTAAATGCTATATTTAAATAAAGGGTAGTGATTATCTCCTTCAGTTTAAGTATTTATAATAACTCAGGAAATCTGTTTTTAAATTGGTCTATTTATACCAACTTAACAGATCAACTGCAGCATTTCTTTTGAAAATAATCAAATGAATACATATTTTCCTAAACTGTTAATTCCAAGGTAGCCATCTTTGGTATTTAATTTAGTAGTTAATCTATTTTAATAGAGTAATAGATTAGATTAGATCAGATCAGATTTACTTTATTGATCCCATTTTGGGAAATTGTTTGAAACTATAATATCCCTTGTTATATAAGCAGTTTGGAATAAAAGGATTTTGCATTACTTTCATTAAATTTAATTGCCAATGCAAAATTATTATCTATCAGTTTCTATAATAACTGCATTGTGGCCATTAATTACGGGATGTTATTCTATTTCTATATACCAATCTAACTCTTTTGTTTTGCAAAGTGAGTTGTAGGGAGAATAGCAAATGCTGAGTTTAATTCCCCTTGATAACCTGTAGCATGACCTCGTGATTAATGCGTGTATTGATCGAGATTCAGCTAATCAAAGCTGCTTCTTAAAAATGTATCCAGTCATTGTTCTGCTGGAGGAGAACATGTCCTGCGCCCTCATCTGTAATGGGGCTCATTGTGATTCAATGAACAGGTGTGGTTCAAATTAATCTAAAGGATCAAAGCATTTTAAACATTTAACTTGTGTATTGTCCAGTGCATTGGCCAATTTAGCTAGACTGTTGATCAAAAGTGCCAACCACTTTCATTCATCCACTCAAACCAAACCCCGAGCCGAAACCAATCATTTAACACATCCCTGGCTCTTCTGGCTTCTGCATATCCTCAGTCAAACAAATAGGTAATAACTCTAACACCTAGCAGCGATGTGAAATTAGATTCAGCAGCAGGGAGGGCTGTCCTCTGTTGGCTGCCTGTGCCATTAAATCCCGAGCTCTAATCTAATCAAGCCAAGTGTGAAAAAAGAACTGAGGGAAGTTGTTGATTTGACTTAACAAGAGATTTGTATAGGGGGATGTCTGGCGAGATATCTAATCAACATCACCTATTTAAGAAAAAAGAGGTTTGCTTTGAGAATTAGACAGAAAACCGGCCTTTTCACACGCTGATCCCTGCATGGTTATTCACCCCCCGAGTGGGATGTGGATTGAAAGCCTCAGAGGTCGTCTGGCTCGCAGCTTTGACAGGACAAACCTTGAGCCAAAAAACACTAACATCCAGAGCGTCTTTAAGTAGCCTAATATAAGAAACATCTGATTTCTACCACATATAGGCCTACAAAACCCTAGGAAACTAATGTTGTGTCTACATTACCTATCATTTTATCTCCCTGATCCATGTTATGCCTGCACAATAATCAACCAAATCTTACTTTTAGCCATCACACTCTTCACGGTGTCCGCTTGCTTTGCTGCGTCTTGCTCCATAATATCCAAAGGCCTGGAAAAGTTAGCCTTGAAATTCCTGTAGAGATGCATCATGTAGGTTGGCAGGTGAAACCCGGTTGATCTATCCGTGAGGGGAAAACGCTCCAAAGGCTGCAAAAAAACGTCATCTCTGTTTGTTGGAATCCCCTGAGCCAGCAGCACCAGCAGAGATGCGTGCAGCGCCACGGCCAGAGCTCCCAATGAATGCATGGTTTGCGCCGGTTAATGACAAATTCCTCTACTCGGAGATTAGGGGTGTCTTATATACCCTCACCCACCCCCTTTCATGTTTAACAAGTAGCTGAGAACATTAAAGGAAATTGACATGCGTCCTCAAGACTTGTTACCTGACAGCTCATCATCCATTCTGTTGGTAATGAGGTGCCTGGGTGCGTGTTTACAAGGAGAGGGGCTCTTTGTTTGCCCCATGTTATTTGGGCTTCTGCAGCCTGATTCCCCATCCTTGGATTAATTGTTTCAGCTATTTGCCTTACACTAATTGTTAGGCTTTCCCATAGTGTAATGTAGTCTACTGCAATACCGTCTGAAATGGACTATGCCAGAGAACGATTGGGCTGTTATGAGACAGATTAATGAAACATCACGAACATTAATACATTTTCAGGTACAATATGACCTTGTGAAAAAGTAAAGAAATAGAGACAGCAGTATATTTATAATGTACATACAACAAGCCTATGGGGGAAAGGGTTATACTTTTAGGTAACATGACCACCATTGTACAATGTACATCACTTTATTTCTCTATCATATTCTAATTTACCGAGGCTTTACTAGCCCTTGCAGTATGCTAATATTGGAACACTGCATTGGTTTGAACAGAAATGGGAAGTAAGTACCTTTACTCAAGTACAATGTTGAGGTATTTATACCTAACTTGAGTATTTCCATGTTATGCTACTTTGTACTTCTAGTCCCCAATCAGAGGTAAATCTTGTACTTTTACTCCACTACATATATTTTGTAACTTTAGTTACTTTACAGATTGGGATTAATGATATGAAATATAGTCAACTCTTAAATCAGACTTTAGTTACATCTGGAGTAAATTCACCAGCTACCCTGCAGTATACAAAGCCATTAAAACTAGCTGCACCTTTACCAGCTTTGATAACACTCTAATGCATCAATAATTATAATCAAAACATATAATATATTATTCTGAAATTGACCAATCTGCAGAATGAGTACTTTTACTTTTGGTACTTTAAGTATATTGTGATGCTAATATACTTTTGTACTTTCACCTGAATAACATTTTGATTGCAGGACTTTTACTTGGATCAGAGTATTCCTGCACTCAGGTAGTTCTACTTTTACTTAAGTACAAGATCTGAGTACTTCTCCCACCTCTGGGTTTAAAGTGTCAATAAGGAATTTGGGTACCATAACTTGCTTTTTGTATGAATAATGATATGAAAGTACAAAACACCATTATAATAACTTCCTTGTTAAGTTTTAAGTAAATCATTGTTATTTTGCATAATAACATTAAATTATAATGTTTTGCTACCTTTATTTATCCTAAGCCCACTTAAAACCATCTATTTTTTATATTTTATAGAACTAAAAGAAATACCAGTCTTTTTTACCATATTTTTTTATTTCATGTCTTTACAATAAAGTCTCCTAAAAGGTCGTTATTAGTGACATTTCTACGTTTTAGGAGTGTATTATTTTGGTTAGTGAGACTCAGAGCATCCAAGGATGACCGCAGACTGCGCATGCGCTGTCCCTTCTAGTATCCACATAGCGAAATCCTTTTCCTCGTAAATTTTCCGAGAAAGGACCAAAAAAAAAAATCATTGGATGTTGTTTTTTTCAGTAGTATAAACAGACAGACGTGCAGCTCGGTTACTTCATCTACCCCGGACAAATACTGAAAACATGTTGTCTTAAAAGCCAGACGCATTTTTTTTAACCACCGTGTGCTGAAATGGTGAGTAGCTTAAAGGTTTACGGCTTGTTGCAAGAGCCACGGCAGCCGAAAAGTTAACATTCATTAATAGGAGTTAACATTTGTGCATGCTAGGACTCTCACGGTTTGTTTATACCTTTGTTTATTGTGTTATATTTAGTGAATATTTGCAGCTGAGCACTTTGCTAAGCGAAGAGTATCTTGAGAAGTGTTTGTGTGGTTGATGGGGCATACATGTGCTTGGCACCCCCCACCCTCCATGCCTGTATTGTGCTCTGCATCTTGCCAATGATTTGTTCCCAGGAAGTTATCAATGATACAACGTTGGATCATCTATAACCCTCCATTTGGATCTTATATCAGGCATACTCAGAGACACACACATTTTTTTAGATAAAAGTGTGGATATGTTTTTATTTTATTTTCAAACACACATTTCCTCACCAATGTGATGTATACAAAGTTTGGGTATGCACCACATAACTATACTTGACCTTTGTTATTTGTAAAACATTCACAACCTAGTGCAAGCTATATGAATTTACCACTAATAATAAGGAATTTTATGGCAGCTTTTTATAAAACTGCCAAAACAATGTATAACATTTGGCTATGCATGTTGATCCCAAACATGATTTTAAATGCTCAAAATATACAAAATAATAGCCAACAGATATGTTGTTATCAGCTCATTGGCAGAAAAATATAAGATAAGATGGACCTTTATTTATCCCCTTGGGAATCTCAAAAGCACGTTTAGTGTGAATTTTCTTTGAATGCAATGCCAAAAAGGTATATTCTTCTTTGAATATGTTCTGTCACTGCAAAAATAATGCCTATAGACTTGGTCAAAGTTCATAACAAGTACCAAGACAGCCTCCCGTAAGGTGTTATGTGGAATATGAAAAGTCCACAGCACACAGTTAGACAAAACAGTATCTTCTTTGATGTATTGTAGTCCCGGCTGTTGTTTGGTTTAGCCTGTGCAGCTGGAATCTCTTCTGTTCATATCACCTTACCTCACATCCTGGGGGAAGACAGAAACTGGTTCTTGTCAACCCAGAGTAGAGATCAACCCGGGAACATCACACTTAATCAAGAGTGAGGGCATGACACTGAATGAATGATGAATGGACACCTGGATCATAAATGATTGAGCTATTCATGTTTGGCTTAACGATAAGAGGCTTAACTTAAAAAGATTTCCTGGTATGGCTTATCTTTTATTAAACTATTCATGGGCAGTTGTTTGGGAATATTCAGAATCAGAATCAGATACAGGTTTATTACCAGGTAGGTTGACGCGTACGAGGAATTTGATTTGGTATTGTGGTGCATACATACAAGTAAAACAAAAATGTAAAACACAGATAGAAAACTATTTTCCACTGAAAGCGGAGGTTAAGTCAGATTTTGGTTTTTTTCAGTCATGTTTAAACAGCAAATATAAAACATGTTTTTTCTTTTTAAAGTCCCATACAATTATTATAGTCTAAACTGTCAAACACCTATTTAGAATTGAAGTAGTTGTCATGAAATAAGGCTAACATCTGCGACAGGAGAAATCTTGTTTTCTGTGTGCAATGGAAAAGTTTTACCACAAGGTGTCATATTTGGTTGTTGCACTCGAGTGGATATGTAATATCCCCAAATTGTGTTTCTTTGGGTGATCTCATTGTCATTTCATCTTCCCAGGAGCATTAGTGATGGTGGTGTACTTAAACTTGTCCCTACAAATATAATCGAAAATAACATTAAAAAAAATCGCAATGTAACATTGATTTTCAAACTACTGCTAGCAGCTGAACTATAGCCGAGGTGAAATATTTTCCTTATATCCTTCCTTCCTGTTACTTTTACAAGGCTTTCAGCAAATTGGCTTTTTTTGGGGTGAGACAGACACCAGACCTGAGAAAAGATTAAGATAAGACAGGTGATATTAGCGGTATGCTCTTTTTTCCATTGAGGACATTAAGCAGAAAGGAAGTGTTTCATAATCTGTCACAGAACATCCTTTTCCTGCAAATCTGCTTTATCGCCATCTAATAAAAAAAAACGGAAGGAAATAATAGGTTAGACTAAGATGATGTGTCACTTTGGAGCTTTATTTAATATCATTTTAAATATGTGTTGACATCTACTAGACTGCTTCTTGTCTCTTGATATTTGATTTTGATCTCACAAAATCCCACTAGAAAGGGCCAGTTTATGATTTCTCATTTTCCGGATTGATTGATTCATGTTCTGCCGTTTGTGGGCCATGGGAGGGGTTCGTTTCACATTCATCGTGTTGCAAGAACATCAGAGACTTGGTGTGCGCTTCTGCAGCAGGAAGGAAGGAACAGGTGTGGCAGCTGTAGATTTAACATCCATATCTCAAAAAACCACTCACAAATCAAGATTCAAGATTCAAAATGCGCTTCATTTGGACGTTATCGTGTGGCAGAATGTTGATTGCACATTCTTTTGTTAGAACATATTCTCACAGGCAGCCAGTCAGACGATAAGATCGGTTTTCTGTTGACTTATTTTGATTCATAGTTGTTGTGATGTTCAGATTTTTGTGTGTTTTTCTTGCTTAATGCAACCCACAGGATGAAACGGGACACTTATTGCATGATGGGATGGTCTCACCTCAGGGTTGCGACTACAAGAGACAGAGCACACAGCCCTTTGCAGCTGAACCTCAAGCTTAAATCGAAGTGTTTGCCCAGCTGTAAGCCTGTTTGCCTTCAACATTGCATGTGTTAACCGCTAATGAATGGAGTAATTAGAGCATCGTAGTGAATTAGGCTTACGTGATGTCATCTGTGTGCAGTTGTTACTGATTGTCAGCCTGCTGGTAGCTCTACATTACATCAGTGATGGTCAACTGCTGCAGCTGATTGTAATAATTTCAATAAGTGAACGTTTAATTTATGTGTTTGAGACGGTTGTTAAAAGGTCTGCCATGTGTGGGAGGCATTGTGTTGCCAGGAGGCTCCGGTAGTGATTGGATGGTGAAATGCATGATGAGTAAGCCTCTGTGGGTCCGCCCCCACATCCTCTTTACACACACACAGTTGCACACACAAATACTGGCATGCGTGACAGCATCTCATGCACAGGGGATGCAGGCAAAAAAAAGTTACTCAAAAAAACAAGGGTGCCTGCCATCACCGCTCTAAATCTCTGCAGACATAGAGCTGTGTCCCCCCCTCCTCTGGCTTCTCTGCAGACTGTCTAGGATCTGTCCTCACTGGACACGTTCACTGACTCGCTCTTTAGGGAC